GAATACTTTTTCCCAGTCAGTGGCTTCCCTTTTTACCCTACTGGAGAAGTTTTTGGATGTGCATAGGGATTTGAGAGTAAATGTTTTTGTTACTGTTATGTCAAGTCAGAACCTCTGTAGTGGGTTTTCAAAGGCTTTAAATTGCATGGGAAGAGAATGCCCGCATTTCTACCCTCGAGCATCTGGTACATTTGAACCGTGTGCCTTTGGATTGGCAGCTCAACTCTTAATCTACCACAAGGTCACCAGAGCTCCCTGGTTAATAGTTAGTGCTCATGAATTAATTAAGCCTATTTCTTCAGAACCAAAGAGGGATTTTCTTTTGCTTGGTACTTACTCACAGGCAGTGGTGATTCAGTGACAGCATTCTTGTCTTCCATACAGGTGATTCAGTGACAGCATTCTTGTCTTCCATACAGGAGATCCAGAAACAGTTGTTACTGATTGACATCTAGGGCAACCATTGGCTTCTGTCAGCAGAGGCTTCTGCTTGGCTGAGCAGGTTTCATGGGAGCCTCTAGATGGGAACATAGGCCTGGAAATTTGCTTCTGAAAATGAGCCAGTGAAAATCCTTTGAGTCATGGCAGTCTAGTCCCATTGTGCATCAGGATGCTATAATTTAGGTTTGACTCCATAGCAGCTAATAGAGCTGCATGCTTTGTCCTGTTCTTACATTTCCAGGACCTTAATAGCATGCATCTCATTTAATGACAAGTCTCTCCAAACTTCTAAGTGCTCATCGTTGGCACTGCAAGCTTTTATCTTTATTTCTCATTTCTGCTCATTTGAGAGATTAGAAATTCTGCTCAAAGTGGAGCTTTACTTATAAATGAGAAAGTAGTAATGATTTTAATATAAAAATTACCTATAATATTTTAGAGTAGTAGTTCTCAACTGTGTTTCTCACTTGGATAGATGACCACCTTTTGTACTACTTTCTCTGTGGACTTACCTGTTTTCCTAAAGTCTTGTTATAAAGATAAGCCACAGCACTACTACCCCGTTTTTTCTTCCTTTGAAGGGGGAGTTGGGTTTAACATTTGAAAGTCACTGCTTTAGACTGACAACTACTTAGAAATGAAGAAATAATTAACCTTATTTTCATTCCCTAAAAATTTTGTTTTTCTTAACTCAGGTTCCTTTGGTGGGATTCGATTATACATGCAAGAGTTGATTACCATTACCCAGAAGGCTCTGCAGTCTCAGTCCTGGAAAATGAAAGCCCAGGGTGCAGTTGCCATGGCATCGATTGCAAAACAGACCACCTCTTTAGTTCCACCCTACCTGGGAATGATACTGACCGCTTTACTGCAAGGCCTGTCTGGAAGAACATGGGCAGGAAAGGTAAAAACTATTCATGCCCAGTTTAATGTAAAGGTATCCTTAAAGGATCATACTCTTCATCTTGCGTTTTTTAAAATAAGTAAGATTCAGCTTTTGTCATACTTAAAATGGACTATTTTTGTGAATCTGATTTCCTAGTCAAAGAGAAATTTTGGGTAAATGATGCCTGATTAAGTATGTAATTTTTATCAGAGTAACTCATGTGTCTTTGAATAAAACAGTAATGCTGAGATTAATTTTTTTATTTTCTGTTTAACTTTTCCATGTTAAACTTGAAACCAAGTGACTACCATTTGTGTGTGGTGACCTCATGAACCCATCAAAGTTATGTGTATATGAATTGAAATGTAAAGAGAGCTGCTTCTACACCTTGAGCTGAGGGTACCCAACTCTGGGTCCTGTGAATCACTCACATTTTTCACATAGTTTTAATAGTATATGCTACATGAACACTCAATAGAGAACCTGAGATTATGTAACACATACTGATGTCCTTTGTGTTGGATGATGACTTTGTGGTATTGTTGAAGTACTGAATTAGGAGTCAGGTCTAGTATTATAGCTCTCTGCTATGTGATCCTGGGTGGGGCGAGTCATTTACTGAATGGTTAGGAGGAACTCTACAAATTTTCTAGTAAAAGAGATTTGATTATTTTGAGATAATTGCAACCAAAGAGAAGGTATATGAAATGTGTTGGGTAATTGTATTTCCTCATCTTTCATCCCCTTAGGAAGAACTTTTGAAAGCCATTTCCTGCGTTGTGACGGCTTGCAGGTAAGGGTTCTTTCATTAGCGGTGTTGTATTTTATGCTGATCCCCAAAGTTGTAGCCTTTAGTAACTCATTCTTTGGTGTGGATCCTGTAGTGCAGAGCTGGAAAAGTCTGTGCCCAGTCAGCCTAGCACAAATGAAATTCTCCAGGCTGTTCTGAAGGAGTGTTGCAGGGAAAATGTCAAATACAAGATTGTTGCAATCCGCTGTACAGCCGATGTCCTGAAGGCCACCAAAGAAGACAGATTTCAGGAGTTTTCTGACATTGTTGTACCTCTCATCAAGAAGGTAATGATCACCTGGATCATCAGGGCTGGTTTATACTTAAGAGAAATTCTTAAAGTTTTCTTGTGTTTTAATCGTAGTGCTCTTAGAAATTTAAAAATTAAAGTTTTTAAATGAAAAAAATGTTAAATGAAAATTGAGAGCTTGGCAAAGTCTTCAGGGATTCTGGCTCCTTTTAGCTTCTAGCTCTGCTTTCCTTAGGGTGTGGCCATTGGCCTCATTGTTCATGGTATATCTTCATTCTAGACAGGAGATGGTAACCTCCACCCCTCTTGTTGTATCTGATTCCTGTCATCCTTTTATATAGTTTCCTAGCTGTAAATCTTTTTTGGAAGAAACTGCCTTTCTTTCTCTTACAGAATACATGTTGAATTTGAACCCTTCAGCTAGCAACCCTGTGTGTTCTGCACTGTGGTACCAGGACTCCTTAGGAGATGGTAGAAGAAATTAAAAAAGGACGAAGAAGGGTCAACGAGGGCATGCCAGATCTGTGTTACAGAGAATCTCTGAAAGCTGCTATACCGCACTTCCACATGTATTTTGTTAGCCAGAGCCTAGTCAGCGAGTTACCACTGGCTGCAGATGAGGCTAGGGAAATTAGTCTTCATTTTGGGTGTTCATGTGCCCAGAGAAGAACAGATACTGAAATCAATGAATTCTATCAGAATTAAAATAAGCAAGCACGTGTGGGAGCAACATGTGCTTTTGAGAAGCAATTCTAGCCTTGCTGGAGTGGAGACAAGAGCTAGATGTGGACCGTGATTACCATCACATCCCCAAACAAGGCTGTGGTTTCATTGGGAAAGTGAAGCACATGTTTAAACATTGAGCACTAGTTCAAAGAAGTGGGTCATAGATTGGTGTGTTTTTCCCCCCCAATTTTTAAAGTGACACATGCATAATTTTAAATAGCATTCTTATTTTAAGTGTTGCTGCCAAATAGCACTTGTTTCCTTTCTTTGGATTTGTTACATCATTAAATTGCTGGATAAGCTACTTCCTTTAGTCTCTAATCAGAAAAAAAGGTTTGGATCAGACTTATTACCAGAGCTTTTTCCACCTCTAGTATTATGAAGTACAAGTCTTCTTGTTTGACTTAAAATATAGTACTACTTATACTTTATTTTTTTAAAAAGAAATCTATGCTTTTAATCTACATACATGTTCAAAGTAATCTGAATTCAGGCACAAAATTCTTATTTCAAGGAGATTGACAGGGAAATGTCACATTTATTTGGAGAGCCAAGAGACCCTTGAATAAGCAAAGCACTTCTGAAATACAAAAAACTGAAGGAGGAGGCATAGTACTCCCTCACCATATAACCTACTACACAGGGGTAATAGCCAAAAGAGCATGGTACTGGCACAGTGACAGGCACATAGACAAGTGGAACGAAATTTAGAACCCAGAAATGGACCCAGCTATTATTTATGGTCAGCATACTCCACAAGGAAATAAAACCTATCAAAGGGGGAAATGAAAACTTCAACAAATGGTGCTGGCAAAACTGGACTGTACCTACAAAAAGCTGAAACAGAATCCACATCTCTCACTATGCATGAAAATCAATTCAAGGTGGATCACAGACCAGGAAAGTAAAGCCCAAAACCATATGTTCATCAGATACAAACTGGGATCAAGCTTAGATGGCCTAGTCTGTGATCGACAGAGACTACCAAATGCAGCCAGATATGCTCAGTCTGGAGAGGGTAAAACTGATAAATGGGATCTTCTAAAGATTAAATCCTTGTGCACATCAAAACCTTTTTTTCCAACAGAGTGAAAAGAAAACCTACTGACTGGGAAAAAATATTTGGCAATACCATTTCAGACAAGGGTCTCACATCAAAAGTTTATAGAATCCTTCAGAGCCTATATGAGAAAAAAGATTTGTAACAATTAAAAAAAGGGCAAAAAATATGGAACGACTGTTCACAGAGGAAGATAATTCAATGGTCAACAGACACATGCAGAAATGCTCAAAATTACTGGCAATAAAGATGCAAATCAAAACCACAATGAGATACCATCTCACCCCACTAGAAGTGGCAAAGTTTAAAAGGACAGCAAGTAATAAATGTTGGAGAAGATGTGGCAAGATAGGAGTTCTAGTAATACATTGTTAGTGAGATTGTAAAATAGTACAACTACTCTGGAAGGCAGTATGGAATGTCCTCAAAAAAAGCTGAACCTAGAAATTCCATATGACCCCAGCTATTCCACTGCTTGGAATATATCCCAAGAAAATGAGAACTGAGGCACAAATGGAGACTTATACACCAGTGTTCATAACAACATTATTCACCATCACAAGAATGTGGAAACAGCCCAAAATATCCAACCACAATCAAATATATTGAGAAATTATGGTACATTCACATCATGGAATATTACACACAACACAGGAGCAATGATTTTGTAAATCACTACTTAAGAGGAACTGGATAACTATGCTGAGCGAACTAACTCAGTCCCATAAGGACAAATACTGTATAAGACCATTATTGCAGAACGTGTATGAGGATCCAAGGGGGGAAGGGTGGGAGCAGAGGGGTGAGGATGGGTTAGGGGAGTGTATGGGGAGGCTAGAGGGGTTAATCATAGGGTCGCACAATTTGATGGGGAGCAGGATGGGTGGTTAAAGGGAATGGAAAAGATCTGGTGTGAGATAGAATGTATATAAACTTTGTAAGTAAACCAGTATAAAATAAAACTTAATTAAAAAAATGTAATGGAAAAGGCTCAGTGGGGACTTGATAAAGTTGAGTGGTAATTGATATAGAGAAATAGTAATAATTATATATATGTAAAATAGAATGTATATGAATGTATAAAACAAAAAGCACATGTACAAAATACAATGTATAGGAATACAAACCATTAACAGAATTTTTTTAAAAACAGTGAATATGGCTAATATTAGAAGTTTCTAAAATATTATTGCCATATCTATGTGTCCCATTCTCTTCACAAATACAGAGAAAAAATTTCTTAACTCTAGGAAAAAACAAAAACAACTCACAAACCTGTGCTTTTAAATTTCTTTGAGGGATCTCCAACGTTTAATAGAGAGGTAATATTTATGCTGCAAATCATTATAAATAGAAAACTGAGTTACTGGTGTAGAAGGATTAAATGAGTTGTTAAAAATGAGATGGGAGAGCATTTTGCATTTGATTTATATTGGTTACTCTCTCACTCTATTAGCCTGATTGATTTAATAGTATGGCTGCAACTTTGGAAGAAAATAATACTAAATAATACTTTCCTCTTGTTACATCCTAGAGCTCACCTGAAAGCACTGGAGTCCGGACAATCAAAAATGAAGATGAGAATGATAAGGAAAAGGAGCTCCAGATGGAAACCTTGCTCAGTGCCTTTGAGAGCCTGGGCAAAGCCTGGCCCCAAAATGCTGAGACCCAGCGTAAGCACCAGAACCTGCCTTTGAAGAAAGGCTGCAGCCAGAGGTTACTTACTGAGCATCTAGGTTTTCTGTCTGACGAGTTACCATTATTCTTTCTTAGAAGATACAGTTCATTAATAGTGAAATTTTATTCATTATAAATTCTAATTAGCCAATAATCTTAACTACTGTGATACATTTTATGCAGAGAATTTGACTTAAAATTTCTTAGAACTCTTTTGCTATCCTCACACATTCTGAGGGGTTTGCAAACTTTTTTAGTATGGTCCCTTAATCTCGAGACTTGTTACCTAGTGTATAAATAAGTGAAATCTCAAATTCACTGAGAAACTTAAGACTTTTTAAAAGAGATTTTCAGAAATGGACTTGTCTTTCCAAAGAATTAAGTAAATAAACAGTAAACTTTTATTTTTTAAATTAGATTACAGTTATTTTAGAGACTTTTGTCAGATTCTTGAATTTGAGATGATGCTGGCGTTTTGAGGTTGTCTTGCAGTGCATCCTACTGGCCATCTCAATATTCTTCAATGCTCTAGGAGTACTGTTGATTATTCTGGCTTGACTATGCTTACAGTCAGACTTATCTTTAAGCCCTGTTGCCTATTGTGTGCACTTTGAGAAACAAGTTCCTTGTATGTAGGAAGAATCATAAGTAGTTTTATTTACTAATGTAATATTTCAGACTGCAGACCCATCATTTTCACATTTGTTTGTGCCATATTAAATTTTAAACATTTAGGAACTAGTGCCTTTGTCGGATTTTATATTCTTTTTTCAGCATTTAACATGATATGAATTGTGTAATTAGTTGAGCAAGTACAGAAGTGTGTATGTCTAGAGAGAAGCTCCCAGCTCCCAGCACTGATGCTTTGGCATCTTTTGGGGTTTAGCAGGAGGAAGGGAGTATGGTCATTGTGCTCCTGGATCAGTTCTCTGGAGGGTAATAGTGGTTTGAAAGTGAATGTTTGTGAACATAGGACCTCGTTGAGAGGTTTCTTAGCAAGGAAATCTGTTTGGGAAAGAGCACAAAATTATGTATGCTGACTTGTTTTAGAGAAATGTGGCTTTTAATATGAAGTATTTTAATTTTTTTTCTTTCCTTCATCTCCCTTTCCTCTGCTGCTCTCTCCTCCATATTTTTCTCTTTCCCTCATTTTGTTCTCCCAATCTCCTACTTAATTTTCTTCATATCCTTCTGTCATTGTTCTTCTACATTTCTCTTTTTCTCTTGTTCTCTCTATTCCTCTATCTCTTGTTTGCCCCATCTTGCTGTTTTTCCCTAGGTTGTTATCGTCAGGAGTTGTGCAAATTGATGTGTGAACGGCTAAAACTGAGCACATGGAAAGTCCAGCTAGGAGTCCTACAGTCAATGAATGCCTTTTTTCAGGGGTACTTTGCTTTATGGTTAAAATACTAATTTTGTCTCCCCCTTTCCTTGGCATTTTATTTTTTTTAAATATTAAACTAGTACTTGACAAAATGATACAAATAAAAATTGGTTGCCTCTGAAAGGTCTTAGAATGTTTTTTAATACCTAATTTGTATCTTGCTTTTTGATTTGTATAGATTAATGCTTTTGCAAGAAGAACATGCTGATCCTGAGGCTTTGGCTGAAATTCTCCTTGAAACTTGTAAATCAATCACATATTCTTTAGGTGAGTGTGGAAAACAGAAATTATAAGGGGTCTTTTATTTAAAGCTTAAGTTGCTGAACTTCAAACGCTCTCTACTTTGTAATAGGAGCTGAATTTACAGAATACCCACTGAACTGTCCTTCTTAATACATTTCATGTGTATTCTAAACCGGAATATTTTAATCTGGACCTACAGTTTAGAATTTTGGTGCCTAGAGTAGAAAGTGGAAGCCCTGGTGGTGGTGTCCATAGAGAATTGTGCTGCTCATCCAAAAGCTGAGCTGCTTTTGTGGTTTGAGTCCGCTGTTTGCTCCTTTGGAGAAACATAGAGTCTTTATAATCTTGGAAACCTACAGGGGCAGCTATCGGCCAGTTCTGACTAGATAGCAGTGAGAGGAGAGTTGATAAAAACACTGGTGAAAAGTTTTATTTTAAACAGTTACTTGGAAATGGTTTCAGGCTTACAGAAGTATTCAGAAATGTATGCAATCATTGATATACCCTTAACTTAATATCATCTTTTAACGTAATGCTCATTTACTTTATCGTTTTTACTTTTCCTCTATGCAGACTTTTCCAAGCTCTTTATAAGTGTGCTGCTTATCTCATGATCTTTTCTCCCTAAACTCTATATTTTCTCTTACATAGCCACAGAGCGCCTACCACCTTAGGAAGTATGCTACTAATAATGGACTCTTTTTTATTACATTTTACCATTCATATTCTGGTCTGTCGTTGACTATCATTAACGGGTTTTTCCCTTGCTTAGTAATTGCTTCACTCCTGTATCATTTATTGAATTGCGTTATCATGCTTCTTTAGTTTGTGGGTGTTTGTTTTTTTTTTTAAATTAATAGAATTTTATTACAAGAATCAGATGCATTTTGAAATCAGATGCATAGGACTTGACCGGCCTCATTTCTGTAGCAGGAAAACTCCTGGCTATCACTCATTAGCCTGCTGGACAGTTCCTTTTCCGAAGACATAGATACCATCCAAAAATTTTCAGATATCCTTGTTTTTAACTGTTGTAGCTTGCTGAATCAAAGCAGCAGAATTTGATAAAAGCTCTATGTCATTTCCTTCAAGAATTACCTCATCTTTCTGGGCTTGAGATACTGAATAAGCAACACCTGGTCTCCTTCAGACTTTCCGATTGTATTTTCTAATTTCAACCAGAGATACACTCTCTTGAATTACAACATTGATGGGGAAATGAACAGACACAGACCTCATCTTGTAAACCAAACCCATTGTAACACCCTTGATCATGTTCTGTACATGGCTACAGATGGTGTGAACAGTAGCCAGTTTCTTCCTGTTTCCCCACCATTTGTCGGCACAAAGCCTCTTCTTCCCCCCCCCCCAGGAGACTGATGTGACTGAAGTCCCTCCGCATGGTTCCCTGCGGGCCTTTCACGGTAACTGTACGGCCCTTCAGAGTAATGTCAGCATTCTGGTTGCTGAGAATGGTCTTCAGTTCTCGCAGTTAATGTGACAAAGCTACTTTGTTTTAATCTAGAATACTTTCTTGGGTTTTCTCTGTCTTCTGTAATACGAATATTTTCTTAAAGATAGAAGAAAGTCTCTATAGAAATAGGAAAAAAAAGTAAAAATTCTCATTTTGTATTTGTTGGATGCTTCTTTAAGATTAGATCTGAGGTCTGAATTCCGTTAAGGGAACACACATGTACTCTTCTTATTTGGAGAGTCTAGCTATGCCCATCTGTTCTCACTGATCATGCTAGGTTTGGCAACATGGTCTAAGTGTTGCTTCACCCCTACCCCCTCACATTATAGTTGGTGTTTTTTTTCCTCTTGTATCTAATAACAGACTATAGAAACACACTTGAAAGTTATCTAAATACCTTCAACCTCTTCAAATATTTCTTTCTAGGTTTAACATGTATAAATGATGATTCTTGAACTGATCCTTACTAAGATGGTTACATCATGATAATTTTTCATATGTACCACTTCCTCCACACTTATATGACCCTCAGCATTCTACTAAGAATATGGGAAAGAAAAAAAGATCAAAATGGATGTCCAAAGAGATCTGAAACTTAGTCTTGCACATAGAACAGCGTAAGAAAACAGGAAAAGTAGAACAAAAAATTTAGAAGGATCTTGAGACGACAAAATAGAACACTGTAATTAAATGTTTAAAAACCTAGAGTTAGAAAACCAGAAAAGGAAAACATAACATGAAGTGTCTCAAGCTGAAAACATTGAAAACAATTTCGTCCCTTTAGTTGTATGTTGAAGGAGTTTAGAGAAAATATTAAACAATGCATGAAGCATAAAAAAAAACAATGGAAAAAATACTAAGTCACTGTATCAAGAAGAACTGGTCAGCATTCGGACATTTTAGGAAATAATGTATGATCAAGAACTTGTTGTTGAAGAAAGGAGTCTCTTATTGAAAAAAAGCAAGTCTCCAGGAGTTGATGGAGTACCAATTAGGGTGTTTAAACAAAACAAATGGAATGCTCAAAATGCTTCTTTGTATGTGCCAAGAAATTGGGAAGTTGGCTACTTAGCCAGCCTACTGAAGATGTTTCATTTAAGTTTCAAAGAAAAGAGCATCTAGTGCATTGGAGAAATCCTTGAACACAGTCAGTGCCAGTAAATTTTGTTGGCATTAGTTGAAAACCAGTTGCAGTAAAAACTCTTGCCAGAATGTAAGAGGGTATTGATCTCCCATTTCTAAAATGGGCATTCTAAATATATCATTTGTTATGGTTACTGTTGTTTAGGGCTGATTTTTCTTAAAGTTGGAAATGTAGATATACAGCACATTTCAAGATTCTTTTAATGATGATTACCAAACAGATGCTTACTTTAAAAAATAGGTGTGTCTTGCCATGGGATTACATTTTCTGAGTATCTTTTAATAACAATTTGCTTTGAGAGATTCCCTTTTTAAGTAATATAAAATGAATAATGTGAACCCTTTATTTTTAGAAAATAAGACCTACTCCTCTGTGAGAACAGAAGCTTTATCTGTGATAGAATTATTGCTGAAAAAACTTGAAGGTGAGTTTTTGTTAATTCTGATTGGAGGGCCCAAGGTGTTCATAAAACATGTATTTTAAAAATTTTTTTGATGTTGTGTACCATTGTGTGAGAACCAGCTCATAGCTGGTTTTCACGGGCTGTATATCACATGAAGGAGACTGCCTCTCTTTCTCCCTTGGAGAAGCCTGTGGATTTGAACTGCATGCCTTAGGGTTGGCAGTGCAAAAGAAAATTGCTGACATTTCATCTCACAGCATATGTATTTCTGCTTTCAAAAGAGACTTGTCTTTATTTCTCAGCTTCCCTATTACTGTTCTGAATGCATGGATTAAGGAGATAGAGTTTTTCTCCAAGACTGTCTGCCTTTGCTTAGCAATTAAAGCACCTCTCTTAGGGTTTCTTAGGACAGGCATTTTAGGCTCAATAATATTGGACATTTTATAAACCCTTATTTGTTAAAAGAGATAAGCATGTAGTTTTATCACCAGATTCTCAGTTTATTAGCCCCATGCTAGTATTTTCCAGGTGAAGAATATCAAGCTCAAAGATTAAGTAGCTGTTGTTGTTGTTTTGTGCCCACGAGTCGCTTGTGACTCATAGTGACCCTGTGTACAACAACCCTAAACTCTGCTCTGTCCTGTGCCAGTCGCACTGCCTCTGACACATCCATCCCCCTATTATCCCAGTCACTGAATCAATCCACCTCATAGAGGGCCTTCCTCTCCTGCGCTGTCCCTCCACCCTCCCAAGCTTTGATGTCCTTCTTTAAGGACCGGTCTACATCATAGAAAATGACTGAGCCTTATCAGCAAGATGTAGTCTCATGTACTTTTATGACTTTCTTAAAGCTTTCTGTATGTATCTAGTTTTCTGATTTTTTTTAATAGAGTAAAAATAGTACTTATTTAAAATGACCTTAGAATTGCAAAATGTATTCTTCACATTTGTGTCTTTCCTTTTTTAAACTGAGTATATTTTATAAACAGGCCTTTGCTGCTATTGTTGTTGAGGTGGCTTTCTTACTTAATCTGTCACATTTGAATTCATTGAGGTTCTTTGCTCTGTCTAGCCTATACCAGGGGAAGGCCATGATACTCTCTGATAAGCTCAAAAGCTTGTCAGTAGTTTCCCTTTGAGACAACTCTTGACCATCTGAACACTTTATACTAAACTTTGACCACATGATTCCTTTGTATTTATGTTAAATATATAGAAGAAGAGTATAATGAATTATTTTAATTTCTTTTTCTTGTTCTTTTCTTGGTTTATAAGAATTCTTTGGTTTTTCTTTCCATTTAGAGTCAAAGCAGTGGGAAAGTTTGACATCTGAATGCCGAGTGCTCCTGATTGAGTCTTTAGCCACTATGGAGACAGATAACAGACCCGAGCTTCAGGAGAAAGCATCATTACTAAAGAAAACACTTGAAAATCTGGGATAAATTAGAGGCAGAAGAAATAAATAAGTGCCATGTTTATTGGGGGTTGAAATGGTGGTGTTCTTTGAAAAACCAAGTGGGGAAAAATAAAGATTAATCTGTAGCATGCATCATTCCTTGGCTGAAATTATAATAATAAAAAAATGCCTTAAATTTTGTTCCCTATTAGCTTTATTTTATTTGATATTTTAAAAGTATCTGGGATATTTGAGAAGTGATTGTAGATGAAACTGGCAGAAAAAGTTGTCATTAAAGAAATACTATTTAATGGAAAGAATTTCACAGCAAGCCAGTGAAGAACAGTAGAGCTGTGTCTAAATGAATTTCTTTCTGGAAGTGTCCCTATAAATCGCTTAGTCTAAACTCTTTGTGGTTTTAAAAGTAATACTGTGCTTTCCAGTGATGGTTTACATAAAAGTTTACGTTCCCATTCAGCAGTTTCTTCACAAATTGTTCAGTGACATTGACTGCATTTTTATCCACAGTTGTGTTAACATTCTTGTTATTTCTGTTCTGGTTGTTCAGTTTAAATTAATCTCATTACCCTGCCCTCTCAATCTTGTTTCAAACTTGAAGAGATATAAGATGGCATAATTTCCTTTCTGAGGCCTGTGCCAAGCCAAAACCCAGTTATTTATCCTGCACAATATACTTTCTTTCGCAACCTCATGCCATTTCAGTTCTGACCCTGTTTTTCTTAAGAAACTTCTGAGTTGAGTTGCCTTCAGGGAGCAATACAATAGCCCTTGTACCAGAATTAGACTGATAAATTACTTAAGTACAGTTGAATTTTTTAAAATAAAAAATCCAAATTTTGTTTTTTGTTTAAATGATGATTTTTAGAAAGTATTCAGCATCTTAAGAGACTGAGTATGAATTCGGTCTCCTTTTGATAATTTTGCCAGCCATTCTTTTTATAGGCAATGAAAGATTAGGACAGAATTGCTCATTCTGTCTCAGGTTATCTATTTTACAAAAACACCAACAAGTGAAGCAGAATTTGCTGATGTGTCTTGGTTTGAACAATTTGTGATTTCACAATTGTAAATAAGCAAATTTTTTACCCAATTTTATGCTAACAATATTGCTCTATAGGGTTGAAAAGAAAGCATATAATTAGCCATGTGGGATTTTTGTTGTTGTATCTGCATTTTCTCAAACTAACATTCTACCACACCAAGTAAAGAATTGCTGCTAGAATTTCCTCCTTCTATAGCTCATTCTCTTCCTATAGGTATAGTAAAGAGGAGAAACATGTCTACGTCTTTATGGAAAACTCAGACTTATTGAACTCACTTTGGGATTCTAGAGCACAAGATTAACATTCAACATTGAAACTTTAGTAAAACTAACTTTAGGATAGACACTCCACATTTATTATCTGTGGTCGTCATCCTTGACTGTCAGTTTTAAACATTTTTGACTGTGACCTATGGTGAAAATTACTTGGCTGTTTTTTTTTTAAATGTGACTTATAGTTAAAAACAAAAACCCAAACTGCTTTTGTGTACATCATGACCCTGTGCGCACGTGTGTGAGAGAGGGAGAGATAGCCCGTGCAAGAAGTCTGTGTGTGAGAGAGAGAGAGCGCGCCTGTGCAAGAATCAAGCCTAAACCACATTCACGGCTGTCAAGTGCAGTCTGACTCCTCATGACACCATCAGATTTTCAAGACTAGTGGTAAATCTTTACAGAGAAATTAATCTGTGTGTGTGTGTGTGTGTGGTGTATTATAAAATCCTTAGCTGAAATAAATGTTTCTTGAAATAATACATGAACTACTTACGTCTGGTGCATTTCTCTCATTTTAAATGCTTTTTAAAATCAAAGTCTTTCCCTGACAACTCAGTTGCCACTCAAGTTTAAAAAGCCTGTAGATGGCATATGGAATTTGGCTATATACTATATTTTGGAGTTCTTTATGATTGGAAAGAAGCTTTACAAATGCTAAATTTACCCCAGATATTCTCTTAGCTGATGTTGAAACATAATTGAGTTTTAGTAGTAGCCTTGTGAATTTTTTCATGAACTTTCCCTTGAGAATGGCTTTTGGTTTGGGGAAACAAAAATCATCTTTGAATGATTTTAGAAAGCTTATGGCCTCAAAGAATTTAGGTTGGTTTTTTTGGTTTTGTTTATTCCTGGTTCAGTATTTTCTCCCTCCACTAAGTGCCATCTAACTTTATGTACAGTACCTCAGATGTATTTTAGCAAAGAATGCCATGTTAGGCATTTTCAGAAAGTTGAGTTTAAGGAAAAGTTGAATTTTGGTCCACATCAAATAATAACCCTCATTAGTTTTTATGCTTTTGAATCTTTTATTATTTAATACTGGGAATTTCCCTTGGTGCTGAATGGTGCTAAGACACCTGAACCTTAGTACTTAATGTTGTTTAATTGCATTTATTTTTGCTTTTCTAGTTTATGCACTTAATGCCTTCATCATGAACAGCCGGATCATTTACACATCTATTAATGCTAAATCATTACCTCTCAATTCTATGTGTGTGTTTGGTGTGCACATGTGTATACATTTATTTAAAAGTTAAAAAATTAGTTTGTAATTGTGCAATGTGGATTCTGGCAAAAAGGACCCATAAATATTTTCAAAAGTTATCCAGAATACCATTTCTCCCTAAAAACTGTCAGTGTTGCTCTTCATACAAACTTGATTTTTAGGGTCTAATTACAGATTTTCTTATTCCTGGGATTAATTTAGTACCAGGTACGTCTTCAGAAATTTATGGATAAGTGAAAAGGAGCTACTGGAAGTTTGGTAGTTGGAAATCAGAATAATGGAAGTAATATAAATTGTCTTTTTTGTGATAATGAACAGGAAACTCATTAAATGTTGGTTACCAGTTCCCAGTGTGTATGCAGTAATGCAATCTACCTGCACAGCAAAACGGACTCTCCTAGTTTTCATTGTTTCCCATCTTATTTGTGTGCATACTAAAAGAAAACAAGATGTGACCTTGGTCTGTGTCCCGGCAGTCATTGCCCTGTGTGAACAGTCGGCCCTTTGGGGCTTCTCTGCCTGCTGCTGCCACCATTTCTTCATGCTGCTTGTTAAGAACTACAGGGGTTATTTTGACATCAGCACTCATTGTGATGTACAAACTGTTGTTAAATGAATGTATATGTAACAGATTTTTGTATTTTATATGCAAAATCTTCATAGAATCCCCTGTATTATGTACTCAGCTAGCTAAGCATGTCTACTTGAGGGGGGAAAAAAACCCTACCCATGCCCCAAAAGAGAATTAAATGGTAAATAAAATGTGCATGATCTGTCCTTTTGAAGTAATGAATTAATTTTCATTGGTTCTCTTGGAAAATGGTTCAACTCCTGAGTTACTGCCTAGAATTTCTCTTTAACAGAATACCATTCTGCCATATTTTGAACTAGCATGGGTTGTAGAATCATTGCAACGTGATAGAGGGTTCCTGTGAATGGGAAACAATGGCAGTGACTGGGATTTTTGTTACATTGTTTGGGTTTTCATTGATTGACATCAAACTCTGTAGGACAGAATCAAACACTGCCTGTTCTTGTGCCATCCTCACAATTCCTGTCATGTTGGAGCTCATTGCCACTGCCACTGTGTTGGTCTGTCTTCTGGAGGCTCTTCCTCATGGACCCTTTATCATAGCATGATTTACTTTTGAGGGACGGGCCCCCTCCTAAGTAACATGTCTGAAGCGTGTGAGATGAAATCTTCCCATTCTCACTAAGGAACGATGTGGCTGCAGTGCTGTTAAGACAGATTTGGTCATTCTTCTGGAAGTCCACAATATATTTAATGTTCACTAAAAGGATACACAATTCAAAACCACCAGTTCCTTGGTCTTTATTCGTTGCTTAGTTTTCGCATCCATATGAAACAATAGGAACATAAAATACGATCTACCCTGGTTTGGGACAGGCCTGCCTTAGTCCTCAAAGTTACATTTGCTCTTTAGTGCCTTAGGTCTTATTCTCTTGACTACTGCTTCCATGAGGATTGTTTGTACAACTAAGTAAAAAGGACCTTTTTGACAAAGTTTTCAAGTTACCTGTGCAAGTAGTGTCTGAGATGTTCTGCTCTGACAATTGGAGAAAGTTTGTCATAGAAAGATAGTCTTTTCTAATAAAAGCAGTTCTCTTATGATTATACTTAACGAAGAAGTGGTTCTTGCTTTGGGTAGGACTTGCTGAAAATTTTGGCTTACCTGGAACATTTCCTTTAAGGTGATCAGCTGCCTTCAGTTTTGTCCACCCAGGTCTTTTCTCTTGGCCCACCTGGGAGAGCCACCACCTGTGCAGCTTCATGGGCTTTTTCTAGGGCCCTCCAGATTTCTGAGCCCAAGAAACACCAACTAGAGGTTTGGAGTTGGCAGAAATTGTAGAAACGGTATATTGTTAGAATGATGGGTTAGTTTGATAGAGTAAATGTCAGGAACATTTTTGACCACCATATTCTGACAGTGAATCTGGTACTGATATTATTGGAATGACTCCTAATTACATTCAAGTAAAATGAAATCTTTCTACAACTTCAATTTTCAAGCTACCTGTCCAAGTAGTTCCTGAGATGCAGGGTATGGCTCTGCCACTTTGAGAAAAGCTGTCATGCAAAGATTTAGTAAAAATAATTCTAGTAGTATTACATAGAAACTGAAGATGAATGTACCTGACAGTGAAGATAAAGATGTCAGAAATATAGACATACTATACTTTGTCAACTTCCAAAAAAATGTTTAGGCTGTGGGAGGTAGGCTTGAGAATGAGGGTTCTTAACCATGTTGGTTGGTTCTAAGTTAATTGGTTGGAATAACAAATTGGTTTAAAAATGAGAAGTGGAAATAACCTTTGAAAGTGTTCATTTTAAAAAATTCTTTACATAGCCATGATAAAGTGTTCACTAAGTAATATCAACAACAGTGAGGAAACAACGAATGCCTACAGAAAACCTAGCTTATGTTCAGAAATTTTGGAGGAAGTGTTTTAAAACTTGTAATTATTGGTAATTAGACTCATAACCTCTACTTTTGCAACTGGAAGAAACAAAATTCTAAATATCAACTGTTGTTGTGTACCAGAACTAACCCATAGCTGACCCCTCCAGTGAGTTTTCAGGGACAGTTTAATCACACGGGAGGGGATTGCCCCT